CACACACACACACACACACACACATAATCACGCAAACACACAAACGAACACACATACAAACATGCACACACACACACATACACACACACACACACACACACACACATTATTAGAATAGGTGAAGGGTGCTTTTCGCCTCTATGACATCACAATATTCACAGCGACCCAAATACGGCCCGACAAAGAGCGAACATCCTTCATGTGCGTACTATATAGGTTAAGTAAGTTCCGAATGGACGTTTGCCCTGATCTGACTGACCGATGACCTCTGTTCCCTCAGGTCAGTGCGGTGGCCGGAGTTCCTGGCTGACCAGTCCCTGTACATCATCAGCACCAGGCCCAACGTCAGTGCCCGGCACATAGAGTCAGTGCTGAAAGACGCCTGCCATGCAGACTGACGATGACACATCCACAGACACACACAGAGGTTGACCAAATGCCCATTTCGGATATGGATAGACATGTGATCGATGTGGTTCATTACCGTACGTAGAATGAATGGATGAATTAATATATGGGTAGATGAATAGGAATGGGAATATTGTTCGATGAAAATATTTGTTGGATGGATGACAGACTGAATAGGTGTAATTGTGAAGGGGTGCAAGGATGGATGAAAGGATGGAATATGGAAGCATAGACAACTGATTGCATGGGTATGGTTGTGAATTGATGGACAGAGGAATGAGCCAATTGATAGTTTTGACCGCAGTCTGAAGAAAGGGCGAAGTCACATGAGAATTATATAAATCACTGCGTCTCTTCGTCTCGGTTTCTTGTACATGTATTCCTAAGTTTGCCATTTGCTCAGTTGGCATCATGCTGGGTTATAACACCAATGACCCTGGTTCGATCTCTAATGGGAAAACTAGCTGTGTTGGGAGTTTTCAAGAGTCTCCACTTACTTGCCTCATTGAGAGGACCTGCCTCTGTGATATAATTTACTGGGTGATCCAAAAAGAATGTACAACTTTTTTTCTGAATATCCTGCACAAAAATTGTTCTAGGATGATGTAATTTGGAACAGACATAGTTCTCCCAAAAGGTATTCATTTGACATAGAATCCACGAAGAAGAAGCTTATTTTGAAAACGGAATTGGCCTAAAGAAAAAAGCACCCAATAACGCAAAGTCCACCAATTTTTAAAAAAAATCTTGTAAAGGAAGTCGTGGAAAGATTGGTTGACTTTTTTCTTGATCTATATTTTCTCTTTGACATTTAATTTTCCATCCCTGTGACTTTTAAACAATATTTAATTTCTTTCAAAAGAGGTTTTTTTAAAACTAACCATTTCACTCTGAAATTCCTAGAAGCGGAGCTCTACATGCCCTCCTTTAGACTCGGCACATTTTTAACGCTTCGTTCGAAATGTTCAATGGCGCCCAAACACAAGGACCTGCTAAACTATGAGTGTTTAAAAGCCACATACACTGTCCATATTCAGTATGAAATGGCTTCTAGAGACCAAAAGGAGTGGGGCCAATAGACAGCATTTTGGGGGTAAACGCATCCCGCAGGGTGAAAATGGGCTTTTTGCACTAAACCAAATGTCATCGAGGAAATGATCTCGCTTTTCAAGACAATCGAGGAATCATGAACACATTTGATTACCATGCTCTGATTCATGTCATCTCGGCACAGCGAAGATGGAAATGGTACAGTCGTAGGTTTGGATATGCCATTAGAATGCAGACTATTGAGGTGTAAAAAGGTCCTAGTTGCTGATCGTCTATCGACAGACGTCTCATGGGACTCTGCTACTTAAATCTGCACCCTGGTGACGTTTATAGAGCTGTGCATGGTGCGTGTTCGACCTGAAGTGGTCGTTTTAAAGTAAATTTATAGTTCTGATTCACAATAGATTAGATCTAAACTGACGGAACTTCTCTACTCATGAGGGCACCTAAAGCATTCTCTCCATGCCGTGCGCAGAACTTACGAAATGTCAAGGTTGGTGAGTTAGTGTTCAATTCACTACAAAAAGCTCTCTGCTCTTTACTAAACGTAACCATGGAAAAATAATATCTGCAGACTTCTGTTCAGTTGTTAAACTGCTGTAGCTTGCAATATGGCACGATTGTTGCAAGTTTTAGTGGTAGGCCTAATGCGAACTGTGCGTCATGCTATAAAAATGACGACAAGGTTGCAAAAAGTTTGGGTTTTTTAATGCGCCATATAGAGCAAACCCATTTAATGGACTTGTCTAAAATGAATATCAGACAAATTCCTTTTGGTTTCCAAATGTTATGTTCAAATCTGAAACGCAAAACTTCAGTATGGAGGAAGATATTTAAAAAACAAGTTGTACAGTTTGGTTGGGTTTTTTTTATCACCCTTCCTTAGTGGTCTGTTTTAGTTTGTTTGAGTGAAGAGAAGCACATCGTAGCAATAGCAGTCATTTAGTGCAGGGGACAAAAGCAAGACAGGCATGGACAATGGAAAGACCAGATATGTGGGGCATGGTGACAAAATGAGTTATTTCTCGCTATCCATAAATTGATAAATTGGCTAAAAATCGACTCTAGGGCCAAATTCGTAGATTTTCTATTGATACCATGCTCTTAAACTATAACATTCCTTTTATTATTTCATTCTTACAAATTGTAAAAACTTCACCTATAAGTGCGATGTATCTATTTGCATCAGGCTTGAAGCCGAGAAGCAACTCATTTTGTCAGCACGCTTCACATATAATCTTAATGAGCTGAAAAGGGCTTAAAATCAACTCAAACCTGTCTTCTTTTTCTTTTCTTTGCCCTATTTTGGCTTGGGTTGAGGGTTTTTTTGTTTGTTAGTTGTTGGGGTTTTTTTTGGGGGGGGTGGGGTGTTTTGGTGGGGGGGGGGGGTAGCGGAGACTGCAGACCACCCTGTGAGCTGGTGCGAATCAAGTCCATCAAGTTGTGAAGATTAGTCCGATTGTAGTTGTCATATCTTTAAAAAAAAACTTTTCTGCCTCAATAAATTAAATATTCGGGTACAGCTCAGATTTGTTTCATGCCTTTCTTCATCCAGCTGCAGAACTCAGTTTAGTTATTGTAAAATGTTCCCTGCAGACCTTTGTGCTTCCTTCAACAAGATTTGTTATAGTTATGTTAGAAGGGAACACATCTCTCTCTCTCTCTCTCTCTCTCTCTCTCTCTCTCTCCCTCTCTCTCTCTCTCTCTCTCTCTCTCTCTCTTTCTCTCTCTCTCTTTCTCTCACTCTCTCTCTCTGTATAATATTTGTAACAAAAAACAATAAGCTCACAAAGCAAGGAAAGAGGAGTCCAACATTGAACGATCTGGCACTTTATTGAGTCACTCCGCAGTATGACTGGTGTTGGATGAACTAGGAAAGTGGTAGCAGTCGTCTGCCCCACTCACCTGTCTACAATTAGAATGAGTATCATGCAAAAAAATCATAAGGACAGTGTAAAGATGCTGAAATACAAAAGTAGTGAAACGAATTATTCAAAACTTTAGATATGGATGGCAGCCATGAAAAGACTTGAACCATTCAACAGCTTGGGACTTGTTCAAAGTACAATGACAATTGGACTTCACGTGGAGAAGAGAGAAAAATACACTGACACTGACACACAAACACACACACAACATGAGGTTTTGTACATGATCCATTGTGTCCCAACTCGCATACTTGAACTTCAACTTTGACATCTCGAGATAAAATAAGTACAGTAACTAATGAGCACCAGAAACAGTTGACCGATGACTTTGAAGATAAGGGGTTGAAACCACCTGCCCCTCAAAGTGAGGGTGACCATGTAGCCATAGAGCGACACTAGAATAGAGCAGAGAGACAGTCGCGACAAGATCAGCCACGCAGTGGTGAGTAGTACAAATGAAGTCTCAAAGTCCGCTACAATTAAGTATTGAGATGAACAGCACCACTACTGAAAAAAAACTCCTCTGTACCGTGTGAACACTAATAATGTCTTCAAAGACAGCAGCACCAAGGCCCACATGAACAAAAGAATATCCAAACAAGAGAGGGTCTGCCAAACTGTGTAATGACTAGTGAGGGCATTTAACTTTTTCCTGAACACACAGAAACAGACCCCCCTCCCCTCATCCTCTACCAACTAGACACAACAGCACACAGAACTTAGCCTACATCTTGCACCACATTTACTGTAGGCTACAGCTAGCAAACCTGTTGCAGACCAGGGCGAGTTTAATCTCAACAACTCCGTAGTAATTGCTGTATGCTCTTTGTCCCACCACATTCCGTAACCATTCCAATCTGCTCATGTCTCGACCATCTCTACAGTGCTGGTGCAATTTTTCTCTTATTTCAGTATTTCATTCTGCAAGTGAGACAGCTCTGAAAAAAAAATTTACCCTGAAGGACTCTACAAAGCTCACACTGGAAGTGTCAGAGGACACACATTGCAAATATGTTGAAGAACATTGGAAGATTTACGGTCAACAAATGTACATACTTATAACTTCTCTTTCACCCTCTTGTGTGTTGTGTCTTAAAACATAATAACCAGCAATTTTCCTTCACTGACATCAACACTCAGAAATACAGGGAGGCATTCAGACATTCTGCCAGCCCAAATACAACTCCATTCTCGCAAAAATAGAAACACTCACACTTCCCTGGAATTCTCAATTGCACAAAACGCCAAGTTGCAATTTGTTCTATCTTCAATATATCTGTATCATACGTGGAAATGTCTACCAGCGTAAGGGACTACAACTCGTCTTTGACGTAGTGTAATGTTCTGCCGTAGTCTGTGGCTGAGCTAGCGAGGAATTCTTCTTCCTTACTGACGATCTCATCAATGGTGAGCTGCTTGTCTCCGTCCTCATCACATGACTCCAACAGATGCTCTGCCTCCTCAACGGCGACTTCATTGTTGTCCGGCAGAGCCCATGGACGCACTTCCTCTCTGGACAGTTTGCCGTCCTTGTCCTTGTCCAGGTCCTCGAAGTTGGTCACTTCCACCAGACGGGACTCCTCATCCACCTCATCTGTACAACGAACAAGACACACCATCATTAGCACACACGACACGTCACTAGCACACCCACAAGACACACCACTTGCACAAACAAAATGTCATAAGCATAAACATGGCACAACACCATAAGTGTATGACACAACATCAGTAGCACATAAACAAGATAAAGCATCATTAGCACACCCAAGATACAACATTGTTAACACAAAAAAGAGGAAAACATCATTAGCACACACAAGGTAAACCTCAGCACGACACGGGTTCTGTACAGCAAGAGAACATGTGCCAATCACAAATTAGCATCATCTGAAGAGAGGGGGGAGACAGAAAGTAAACTTGGGAAAGACTAGAGTCCTTTACAGGAAGAATGTAAATGGGGGGTGGAGGGGGGGAGTTGAAGATTAAACTTTGGAAAGGGTAAAGTGCTTTATAGCCGTGCAGTCTCGTCATTGAGAAGAATAGGACTGACGTGGTGCTAGCGTGTCGTACGAGGCGACTAAATGGCGAACCAGGTAGTGACTCCTGAAACAGAGTCATCCTGCCTCCAGGTCGGGGGTTGAGTCACGAGGCTAACAACCTCTCTCGTAAAAAGAACCTGTTACATAAACACATACAAGCAAAAACCATTATCTCTGCTTGGCTGATCGTGGATCTTCTCCAAATGGAGAGTTTATGATGCAAGGCAGTGAAAGCCGAAAGGAAGCAGCTGGGCAGAAGCCTCCACCATCATCCAAGTCCAAGTCTCTTCGGATCGGCTCGTCGAACGTTAGGACCCTTTACGAGGCTGGAAAAACTGCACAAGTTCTCCAAGAAATGCACCGATACCAACTACACATACTGGGAATCAGCGAGACCCACTTGAACCAGTCTGGACAGAAGCGAATGAAAGAGGGGGAGCTCTTCGTTTATTCAGGAAATGACAGTGATGGACCACACAGGGAAGGAGTAGGGATGATCATATCAAAAACAGCTCAAAAGACATTCAGGGGCTGGGAAGCACATGGTCCCAGGATCATCATGGCCTCATTTGGAACTAAGAAAGAACTCAAGGTAAGAGATGGTATGAAGAAGGTCATTAACATGAACATCATACAAGTGTATGCTCCAACCAATGATGCAGAAGCGAAGAATAAAGATGACTTCTACAACCGCCTGCAGAACGTCATCGACAAACTTCCAGGTAAGGACATCAACATTGTCATGGGAGATCTAAATGCAAAGGTAGGTTCGGACAATAGTCACAATGAGGAAATCATGGGCAGACACGGATTAGGAGAGGCAATTGACAATGGAGAAAGGTTCCAAAACTTCTGTACATTCAACAACTTGGTCATTGGAGGTACCATCTTCCCCCACAAAAGGATTCACAAGGCCACTTGGGTCTCCCCGGACGGAGCAACGGAAAACCAGACTGACCACTTTTGCATCTCCCGAAAGTTTAGACGCGTTCACTGGAGGACATCCGAGTCTTACGAGGAGCAGAGGTCGCATCAGACCATCATTTGATCCTTGGAAAGATGAAACTAAAACTGAGAAGATATGCACAAGTCGCCGCTGGAAATCGTCTAAAGTATGAAGTGAGCCTTCTGAAAGACCCAGTAAAGAAGAATGAGTTCAAGTTGGAACTGAAGAACAGATTTCAAGCCCTTCAAGATCTGGATGAATGTGAAGTCAACGAACACTGGGATAAGTTAAGAGAGGCAGTAAATGCGACTTGCCAGAGCACCCTAGGACCCAAAGACAACACCAGGAATGAATAGATTTCACAGGACTCTCTAGACAAAGTCAAAAGAAGAAGAGAGCTGAAGGCCCAAGTCAACAACAGCCATACCCGAACTGAGAAACTCGCTGCACAACAAGAGTACACTGAAGTAAACCGGGAGGTAAAGAATTCCATCAAGAAGGATAAGAATACCTACCTGAATGGCCTGGCCAAAAAGGCAGAGAAAGCAGCAACAGACGGGCACTTGAGGATTGTACACCAGACTACAAGAACTCTTTCAGGTAGGTTCAGCAAGCCCACTCTACCAGTGAAAGACAAAGAAGGAAAGACTATCTTCAACCCAGAGGGGCAACTTAACCGATGGAGAGAACACTTTGATCAACTACTGAACAGACCACCTCCAGAAAACCAAACAGAAATTCTTCCAGCCAGAAATGACCTCCCAATAAACACGGAACCACCTTCAAGAGAGGAAATTGCAGCCGCTATAAAAACACTGAAGTCCCACAAGGCAGCTGGTCCCGACCATATACCACCGGAAGCCCTTAATGCAGAGAAAGATAGGTTTGTGGAAATTCTCTATGCTCTGTTTGAAAAGTTTGGCAAAAGGAGGAAATACCATCAGACTGGAAGGAAGGCCACCTAATCAAGCTGCCAAAGAAAGGAGACCTCAGCAACTGTAACAACTACAGAGGCATTACACTCCTTTCCATACCTGGGAAAGTCTTCAACAGGATACTCCTGGAGAGAATCAAGCTGGCAACAGATGAGAAGCTTCAAGGAAACCAGGCAGGGTTCTGCAAAAACCGATCATGTGTGGACCAGATCGCTACTCTACGTATCATTGTTGAGCAATCGCTTGAATGGAATTCACTACTCGTGGTCAACTTCATTGACTATGAAAAGGCGTTTAACAGCGTGGACAGGGAAACTCTGTGGAAACTCATGCGGCATTTTGGAATACCTGAGAAAATCGTCAAGCTTGTGAAGGCCACCTATGATGGAACAAGCTGCCAAGTCTTCCACGAAGGACAACTCTCAGAACCATTCCGGGTACAGACAGGAGTGCGACAAGGATGCTTGCTCTCACCTTTTCTCTTCATACTGGCAATTGACTGGGTCATGAAAGAAGCCACCAGAGGCAAACGTAATGGAATACCGTGGATCCCTTGGCAGCAGCTGGACGACTTGGACTTTGCCGATGACCTTGCACTGCTCTCTCACACACATGCTCAGATGCAAGAAAAGACCAAGGAACTCAACAGCCTATCAAGGAGTGTTGGCCTACGTATACATCCAGGCAAGTCAAAAGTAGTGAAGTTAGGAAAAGTTTCAAACCTTGCTGTGACAGTGGAAGACACTCCCCTGGAAGAAGTGGACTCCTTTACCTACCTTGGAAGTGTCATCGATGGTAAAGGTGGAACCAAGGCAGATGTTAAAGCAAGAACTGCCAAGGCAAGGTCAGCCTTCAAGCAATTATCAAAAGTCTGGAAAGCAAGCAACATCTCACTGCGCACCAAGATTCGACTTTTTAACTCCAACGTCAAGTCTGTGCTCCTCTACAGCTGCGAAACTTGGAAGACAATGAAGACAGTACTGAATAAGGTCCAGACTTTCATCAACAGATGTATGAGGAGTATTCTAAGAATTAAGTGGCAGGATAGAATAAGAAATGAAGAGCTGTGGGAAAGGACAGGACAAAAGGATATAGAAGTAGAAATAGGCCTAAGAAAGTGGCGATGGATGGGACACACCTTAAGAAAGCCCAGCGGAAACATCACAAGGCAGTCACTGCAGTGGAACCCTCAAGGAGCATGAGGCAGGGGTAGGCCACGGGAAACATGGAGGAGATGCGTGGAAAGGGACATGAGAGAAATGAAGCTCACTTGGAACGAGCTTGGAAGGATGGCTCAGGACAGAGATAAAAGGAAGGAGCTTGTATGTGACCTATACCCTGCCAGGGGTGAAAGGCATTGATTGATGAAAGTGCTTTATAGGAAGAGACCTAGCTGTACCATCTTTTCCAACTTATGATTATCAAACTCAATCCAAGCTTTGGCTCTGTAGAGCCCACCCACCATGAAGGAACTCCACAGTCTCTTCAGAAGACTTTAATAGGGCACTGACAACACAACAAAAACATAAAGGGTTAGGAGTGTAATTGTTAGCAAAACACTCCCTGCTTCAGGCTGTTCTGGTAAACTGGTACAGTGCTGATAGAGGAATTCAAATCCATCGCATATACAGATCTCAACACTCACCCTGAACCCCCTGACTCTCACCTGGCGACCCTTGACCCCACGATACTTGCTCTGTGACCCCATGACACTCACCCAGCCACACTCGTTGGTCACCTGGCCCCGCCAAACTCCTTCCACCGCCCGACATATGCTCTCTGAAAGACTCACCACCAATGAACTCCTCCATGGAAACGGAGCCGTCACCATCCTTGTCCATTTCCTTCATGGTCCTCTCAATCTCCACTTCGAACATGTGGGGGTAGTCGTATGGCTGGAAGTACGCCAGGAACTCGTTTTCGTCTAAAGAGCCATCTTGGTTCAAATCCGCAGCAGCAAAACGTTTCTTGTCATCTGCAACCAACTACAAATCAAACCAAAACGTCAGATTCGACGAAGTGAAAAACATGACTGACTAAAAGAGATGGGGATGTGAACTGGACGGTAAATGTACCAGTCCGTCAAGAGGAAAAAGATGAATTGTATTTAAGAATTTGAATTACAAGATACTAAAAACAATTTCTATTGGTCAAATCTTTATGATTTCTTTCCGCACGATTGGGAATCATCAGCTAAGGCAATAAAAGAATGGGGGGGAAAATTTGAAAAATAAAGGGCTAGCGTGTCAAGAAATGTACATCAACAATATAAAACAATAGCTAGATACTGATCTTAAGCCCAGTCTCCAATTGGGAAGGGAAAACAAGGTCAGCAACCCAATCAGGAAAAACGAACCCACTACATACCCATTGACAATCACTTCAAAGCAGCAACCAGTTCCGAAGGACATAGGGCCTCCCACAGATGAGGAAAGGAGAAGGGAGAAGGGAGGGTCTAGTGACACCAAGAGGACAAAGCTGAAAGTTGACCAGTCAAATGAGGAGCCTTTTGTCAACCAGGACAAGCAACATATCTGGCATTTGGAATATATGAGTCAGATGCCAAGGAATACGACAAAAACTTTAAAATATCTGGAAAAAGAAGGGAGTCAAAAGGCAAAAGAGCCAGATAGAAAGAGATGCTACTGACATATATAGATTTTGAGTTAACAATGAGCTAGAGAAAAAACAATTGTATTTTAATAGAACAGTACTCCCGCATAGTTATATTTTCCTTATCAAAAAATTCAAAAAATTACTGGAGTCCCGGGGGGGGGGGGGGTGGAAAGGGATCCCATACCAGTGGTCTACAAAACAGCAATTCTTTCAATCTTTTTGTTGTCCATTTCATCGCCTACTAGTCAATCTTACCATCTGTTCACTTACAACATGACTGGCCCACACAGGATGAACCGGCCATCCTTCCTATCAATGTCTTTCAACATGTAAGTGTATGGAATCTTACATCAGTTCTGTAACCTCAACAGTCTGAAGCAAGGAGCCTTTTGGTAATAATTCACTCTGTTAACCCTTGGTGGGTTTTTTTTTAACTTTAAGCTTACGTTCATTTGGTAGAACTTTTGGTTCCCTGAGCATCTGAGTTCAAAGGGGCCGTACACACGCATGCACCCCTGCACACACGCATACACACATTCCCCCCACGCGCACACGCACACACACACACACACACACACAACACACAAGTATATTGAGAGAGAAAAACAGTAGACACTGTGGTACCCAACAAGGCAAGAACTTAGACACACCTGCAGAACATCGGTATCCTTTTCCTCCTCATCAGCATTCTCCATCTCACTCAGCTCCTCCTCTGTGACGCTGAACTGCTTGTTGAGAATTTCACTGAATGTCAGCTTGCCATCACCATCCTCATCTTCGTTGTTCCAGCGCTCCATGGCTTCCTCGTGATCCAGAAGACTGGAACAAAACAAACATAGCTACATCACACATGTCTTGTTAACAATTCTCTTCCATTTCTTTTTCTCAGCAATAGACACAGATTTTCACTCTCCTTCTCTGTCTGTCTGTCTCTCCTTCCCGCCCTCCCTCTCTGTTTCAATATCCACCATTCACACTGCTATTCATCCAGTACATTCACCCAAGCCAGTGATTCTCAGTTACTTGTGTCTCTGCCTTTTCACATGTAGTGGAAGCAGCTCATGGTATTATCTCTTATATAATTCATTTTATTCATCCCTCCTACTGCCCACCACATCTACCCACCCTATGTGTTTGCAGATTTTGCAAGGATGGCAGCCAAAACATTATTGTAAGCCTTAGGCCTAACCCTGCATTACAACATGAGCAACGATACAATGTCATATGACCATTCATTACGAGTGCTTCGAATTTCAAATATGGCAAGGGGAGCTCATTGTGCCTGCCTACTGTTAAATTTTTGCAAGGCCATCTGCTGCACTTCAATATTCCAGAGTCATTGACCCTTGAACTGTTTATGGTGCAGTTAGTGAACGTGGAGGAATAACAGGCAATATTCTAAGAGACGTGATTTATAACTTTTGTTGGCTTCACTTATCACTCATACTCATAACTTTGTGACAGGCGGAGAAAAACGAGAGGAAAATCCATTATCCATAAAATTTGCAAGGCATTTAAATGGCTCAGCCACTCCTCCAACAGCTGTAAATAGCGAAAAAATCGTGAACACTGAGTAGTAGAGTAGAAGAGTTGAATGGGCAGAGAATATGATTGGCTATGGTTCAGATGTCGTGTTGCCTGCACATTACTTCTTCATCCTTCTTTTCTCGTTAAGATTGAATGAAGTGCCTCGTGACTCAACACTAAGAAAATATGACGCACATGTGTCCAATGGGCAACTGATCCCCAATGATGCTCAACTGGGGAGGTCGTCAGGTCACTAACTGAAAACAATAAAGATGAACTAATACCAGACAAATTGTGCCATTAGTGAAGTATTAAGAATTTTAAAACAATAAAAATTGAAGTAAGGGTACCACGTTATCCAAATGACCTTGACATTCACCAGAAGCAAATATACAGTAAGTAACTAATGATGGTGGCATTGGCATGAGTGTGTATTCGTAAACATTATTTTACAATTTCCAAGGCCTGAACTGGAAATATCGGTAACTGAATTTGACTGAGGACTTCTGTGTAGATTTATTTAAGGACAAATTTTTTTTTAACCCTGCTGAGGTAAAACTACTCTAGTTAAACATGTACTATTCCCAGAAGAGCGAGACACCCACCGGAAAGACTGAAGGATCCATTCTTTGAGTTCGTCCAATTCAATGATGTCGTTGTCATTGGCATCATGTGACTTGGCCAAGTTCTTGAGTCTTTGTGTTCTTACATCTTCATCCAATTCAGCCAATTCTTCAAGGTCATGAGATCCTGTTGAAACAGACAGTCAGGACAACTTTATCCACAGCTCAAATACTATATCAACAATGGTCACACAAACAACTAAAGAACTCACAGAGTCACTGCAAGACTCCACATGGACGTATATTTTTAAAAACTATAAACATAACAATCTTGTTCTTACAGGAAAACTTTTTCACTGAGCCTGAACACTGAAAAATGTTAAGAATTCTGATAGAAAAAGAAAGATTCCCTGAGGAAAAGACAGATGCCAGACCAAACCAAAGAAATGTTTTGTGAAACAAAGTCTGAAAGCCTATACTATACCTTTTTTATTTTTTACCTTCTTAAGTCAACAGTTAATCACAATCAATAGAAATGGAAAACATGTAAAATTTGTGTCAAAACAAAAAGATAAACAATTCCACTGAATTCCAAAGAAATTTAAGAGAATTGAGTGATGATTTGTCACCCTAAACTTGTGCCCAAGTGAACATCCCAGTGTTGAAAACAACAACATGGGTTTCTTATCCAGATGCCATCTCCATCTTTAGTTTAGTTTTTGTAAGAGTTTTACGGCACTTGGAACACAAATAGGTCATATATGTGCCAAAGATTAGAGCTGTTACAAGAGAGTAACATACAGAGAAAAGGAAGAGGAGACATAAGGATGATAGATGTTTGACTGGAAAGAAGGCAAAGACCACACCAGTGACTTCGCACTTAAGCCATAAAGCAAAAACTCAAGATTAAACCACGGAAAGTCAACACATAACCTAAATTACAATTAACTGAAATATTCTTGGACAAATGTTCTAGCCTACTACCAACCTGAAACAACAATTATGCAAACTAGCTTCCGATAGCCACTTAAGTACCCCGTGAAAACTTATGTTTAAGCATGCCAGCTAAAGCTCAACACACCACAGCTAGCTCCCTTCACAGCCATAGACTAATTTGGTGACCCACCAGCCCATGAACAAAGGCACATACCCATTGGCCCATTTACCAAAGTACAGTCTCACACACTCATGTACAAATGAAAACACCAACATTCCCATAAAAACAAATATACCTGCACACATGCATGTACAAATGTACATGATATACAGACACACCTATGTACCAATGTACATACTAATACAGCCGTGAACAAACATACATATCTACACATCCATGTAAGTACACATACCAATACACCCATGTACAAAATGTTATTTTACTTATTCACCCTTGTACAAATGTGCCAGCCCTCAAACCCTTGTAACAAAGGTGCCAAACCTTTCTGTGCACATGTACTAGTCCACATAGGAAACAGCTGTATATTTGAAACTACATGTACATGTTATTTGGAGAGGAACTACTGCAAAGCCATTACAAAATAATAAGCAATATTTTGACTGCTGCTTCTGTTATCTCACTCCTAAAAAAATAAAACTTCTTCTTTCCACTTGAATGTCTTCTTCAATCAAATGAACCATCAGGACAAATAACTAAGGGCGCTTACAACCGTCTGTGTGACTCTGTCTGTAATGAAAAACAACATTATAGCCTTGACATTTCTATTTTTTTTAAAAGAGTACAGCAATCTAGAGACTGACCCAGCAGAGCTTCCTGATCAAACACTGGGTTGTGAATGCCTCCCTTGGCGTGATGAGTCTTTGTTCCCATGCCGCCATGCTCAGGTCTCTCCACCTCGCCGAGACACACAGGCAAAATGCACAGCACAGCCACCGTGAACAGGCATAACTGTTGGTGGGGGGAAAAAAAAGATACAAACTTTTAGCAAAGCTCAGATTACTTAAAAGCTAAAGTGAATGACTGAGAGCAATCCCGATCACAGAAAATGATCATGGCATTCCTTCTAGAAACAAAATCTACTTACAGGCCATATTCCTCTTAAATGTTCACACTCCATTCTGGCACTTCAAAAAATAAATGTTATTGAATTCATCCACTTTCGATTTAACTACAGTACAGCCACCTATATATATATATATATATTATGCCCACCTGTACAAACAGCCACTTTCTATCCTTGTATCTTATTTTTCTTTATATAATAGCACTGCGTAGAACAATAAGCTATCCAACGAGGCCACAGACACTGTATTTTATCAAAGCCTCACAAAACTCTCATCGCCCTATGCTTTGTCATAAATATTATATTGTCAAATATAGCATTATATTGCCATGTAGTATCATATTGCCATAAATATCATATTGGCGCCTAATGCTGTGGACAAGCCATCATGATCCATTCAGTTATCATTATTGTTAGTCCCTCCAATGAATGAACCGATCATGTTGTGTAGGATCCAACCACAGTTTACCCAAGTTGACCTGTTGGTAACAATTAATTTTCAGCTACTGGTGAGGGAGGCAATTGATCCATCGTAGTCTATAAGCCCACTCAAAACTGAACTAGAGTCATGCATCCTCTAGTAGGGAGGGACCTCAGAAGGAAATGGCTTGTTTTCCTCATTTTGATCAGTCCTGCCTCGGACGGCCACTTTTCTCCTCAACAATGGGTGGTCGTCTTACACAAGTTCTACTGTATATATCGTAAATGTTACACTACATCAACATAAAATCGTAGTTAATGTAGAATTTAGGAAATGCACAATGGCAAAAACTAAAATGTTAACTGTGGTTTGTCGCTATTAATACACACATAATTAGCATGTTATCTCAGCTCTATGAGGGCGGTATTTTTGTTATTACCCTCCAAGCTATGGCAAGTCAGGATGACAATGGCTACAAGTCACCATGAAAAGAGGGGACAACCACCACACTGAGACAAGAAGGATTCATAAAGCCACACAACAGCCCCAGTGAACCATGAGCCGTTGTGACATTTAAACCATGAGAAACACGGCAGAAATACATCACATTATTCAGCAAGTCAACAAAAAGCCTCAGACCAAAGCAAGTAAACTTACACTTCTTTGTACCAATGTGTAGCCATCAAAGAATGAGAAAGTCTGAAGACGAAAAAAATCCAAGCAACCAGGGAGACTGTTTCTGTGTCTTCTTTTACCAAGTAACATGCACAATAACTTGCTTTTCATCAATCAGAAGACTGGTAAACGCTATGACCTAATTGAGACTTATAATAATAGTGCAATTGAAACTCTGTGAGTCCTTGCACCCTATGCAGAATAAAGACCAGTCATCTGTAACAGCTTACAGCAAATCATTGCTTCTTCATACACATGATATATATATCTCTTACTTAGATATGAGGCCACTACACTTCCACTGATGTTCAAAAAAGCCTGCCTGTCTTTTTTTTCACACATTTTACAGTTATATTGCAGAAACATGACAGAAAGGTTATGGTGGATATCGCAAGAAAAATGAGTAACTACGTTTGGACCTGCTCTACAAGGTCAGTAAAACACACTGAATTACACTCATTTTTCTTACAGTAATGATATTATATATTATAGATAGCCTGCATAATTGTATTCCTTTTTTTACTCTCTATTTTACAGTGTAAACTGAAACCATTGAATCTACTTTCACCATCACATATTAAAAGTTCAGCTATTGAATAGATGTGCTGAGCGAGGTAGTAAAAGCTCGAACTCACAATAGTAGGCTAATTACAAAACATAGCAAGTACCTATCTTATAACAGCTAGAAGCCTATCATTCCAGGCTGTAAAGGTATTTTTTAATAAGTATGTGTGTCACGGCGCAGCGGAATCTGGCGCTCATCAATTTTGGGGCATATGGAGTTGTTCATATATATATAATATTAAAGATTTGCCACTTTAGGTGAAAAAAATACCCACCTATCTCGAATAGAAATTGAGAATATTTGCAATTGAAGGAGGGGAAATTGTCTGGTTTCAGAGGTAAAATGAACGAGAGAATGACTGCCAAAGTTTGGTGATTTTCATAGCTCAAGAGTCCTTGGAAACTGCAAATTTACATTTTCTGTGCTTTTAATCAACATTTTTCCGTAGAAATCCACACATAAATTGCTTTTACATGGACATAAAAGGTGTTGAACTAAAAAACATATAAATATATCCAATGAAAATTGTAAAACTGGCGAAAAAAAATGCAGATTTCTTCCATTTCATTATTTTGACAAGCGCCTGATTAAAATTGATGTCACCATGATGCATTGCAAAAAGGAAGAGGCTAAGCGTACTTACTGACGGCTAGACTAATTACTAATGAGACTTGTACAATAATAATAATAATAATAGATAGCATTTGTATAGCGCAAATCCCCGCTCAACAGCAGGCTCTATGCGCTTTACACTATATTATTACCCCAGCAGACCATAGAACACTCCGAAACATTCTCAGCTTCCCGGGAAGCATACAGTGCAAGCAGCTGATTAAGCGCTCTTTTCAAACACTAAAATACTGACAAGATCTTTCGCTGTCTATAGCCGGGTACCCATTCCCACCTGGGTGAAGTGAGGAAAATTCTTGTAAAGTGCCTTTCCCAAGGACACAACAGGTTTCGGTCAATAGGGCCTAACCTATGTACAGCTAAACAAGCAGGCTACCCATACTTAAGTACGGCTAGATGGCTAAGCTAGCCGTAAAGGCGGCTAGACTGGCAGGCTAGCCGTACTTAATAATGATGACGGAATTGTAATTAAAATTATAGGTTTTTCCGGGTTTCTTTATAGTAGAGGGTTTTACGGCGCTCGCAACTGCATAAGGTCATATGAGCACCAAAAATTATAGTTTGCAAAACCTAAAGTATTTGTATTTCAGACGAAACTAAAAGGTGCCTACTGACATGCAAGTACTTTTTAAATAAATAATTACTAGACCGAATGAGACCTGCGTACTCAACAGGTTTCGGTCAAAAGTACAGCTAGACACTTCGTAGAAAAAAAGCAATGCATGTTCATGCTTTAAGAACTTTGAAATAATCTACTAGATCTATTTCAATATTCTGATCTTTTCATCTCTCAGTTAGAAAAAGTCAGAGCAAAAACATAGTCCTGCACAGTAATCACATGTTAAACTGGAGTTTAAACATCCAAAGAAGTCTGGACTCAGGACTGGTTAAAACTTGTAAGTAGCCTAGCGGTAAAGGTAATATCCTGAGTATAGTATAGGCTTAGAGATATTGATTAATTGTATATTATAGATTGATTAAGAGCTAGATTTCTAGATGGCAGCAGCTATTCAGACTCGAGTCTGAATAGCCTCCCATGGCTATTCGGACTCGAGTCTGAATAGCCTCCTATGGCTTTTCGGACTCAAACTCCAATGCCTGTACCGGATGTCTGAAGCGGTCAGGCAATTCGACTTTAAATTGGCCTTCGTCGGTTTCTACGATATGGCCTAAATTTTTTACACAAATCAAGAAAAGTATAAGTGACGTCCAAAGTGAACAACAGTTTGCAAAATCTGAAATACTACACAACAAAGGTAAACAGGGAAACGGCAATCTTGAGCTCAAAGCAGTGGGGGGGAAAAAAAATTATTGTAACACCTCTAATCTTCTGGCGCTCATATGACCTTATGCAGTTGCGAGCACCGTAAAACCTCTACTTAAACTAAACTAAAATCAAATTTTCAGAACAACAAAGGATTATAAACTATGAGGTATTCTAAACCCGTTTTCTTTGACGAGAAACACAATATCATGGATAAATTGAAAGTCCAGTCACAAATTAAGAAGAGAAAAGTCAAACCCTTTCAAAAGGGAACAAAAGTCAGTCACTAAAAGTAACATGCATTTAAGTTTGAGTTTGAGTCCGAATAGCCAGAGCAGCTATTCAGACTCGAGTCCGAATAGTCACTTCGTTTCTAGAAACCTCAACCGCATGCATACATGAAGAATTACTCACTATAGTGTGGTCAGAAATTCGTGGTGCAAGTTATCCTCAAATACCTTTTGAACGATTGAACCAATGTCACCCATACTTTGCACAGCAGTTTGTATCAATTTGTAACTTAATCATATTTTTCCACAACAATTGGGGATAGATTAAAAAACTTTTGTTCTTTAATTTATACTACAAATATCTCCTTCACGCGGAAAATGAAATTGTTCACAGCACTTCCCGCTTCTCACACACATTTTGCATGTATTAATACTTCAAAAATCTACGTCACAGCTCACCATTGATACTTTTTAATAGCAAAACTGGTGACAAGAAATTAATTTTAGGCCTCGTTAATTTTATTGCAAACACTTCTTTGCATTAAAAGTTCCCAAAACATGCCTTCAATAAAGATACTCTCGCAATTGGAAAAAAAATGACAGACTTCCTTAAAAAAAGCGATATATTGCCCTAGCTGTAGACCTTTTAAAATCAGTAAAAACAACTCATCGGGATTAAATTTATTAAGTAGTATAGAGCTAACAGGTGTTTACAAAAATATTCATCTGTTAAGACAAATTGATACAAGTCACTGTGCAAAAGCTGGAGAGTTTATTTTCGATAGTTGAGGAGATATATTTGACAATAAGTCGTGCCACGAATTTTTGACCGAGGCCTGTCCTAGCTCTGGAATCCTGGACAACCAACTTAGTTTCACGCTTCTTAATCTAGATCAAGGCCTTGAATAATTATTAGATCTCGATTAGATCTAGATCTAGATCTAGAAATCTAGACCTTCTAATAGATAGGCTACTTTTTTATTATTAAAAAAAACTTATTTAACTGGGTATAGATCTAGATCTAGATCTAGATCTAGAATCTAGAATCTAGATCTCTAGAGCCTAACAAACGGTTCTTGGACTTGAGAAAAGTAAAAGTAAGCTTACCTTGTTTCTGAATTCCATTTTTTGTTTTTGCTCGGCAAACTTGATCTTGTTCGAAAAAGGTCTAAAACCAAAGTTATGCTGGAAGTTCTTAGAGTCAGCGCTGTTGTTACCGCTACTCAACCCTCAATGCACAGTGACTGATCCTCAAGAGTATCACACTCTTTATCTATACTGGAGCGTAGCAGCTCAACTGAATTGACCGAATCACTCGATCGACTACGTGGCAGAACGCACCCCAGCCAAGGGAATTAATCAATATTTCTTCAATTTGATAACACTTCACGCAAGCATCTACACGTGGAATAACCGTTGCCAGTATCGCCAAAATCAGCTAATCTATAACGCAATCAGACTCTTGACATGGCCCTCTGAACTGTCCGTTGTGTAGAGAGAGGAGGGGAGGAGCAGAGATCGCCGCTACCAACCCGGAAACACTAGACCTAGATAAGAAAATAGTGCACCCGACAACCGATTCGCTTTCTCCACAAACAGTCGTGCTTTTCTTCATTCTCACATTTGTTTGGTCGTTACAGTAATCAATAGCATTAGGCCTATGAGCTGACCGTTGGTGGAGGACATTTCCAAGCTGTTTCTTATCGCGCGTGCTTAAGCTTGGCCTAAATGGATTTTTGTCGACAAATTGATATTAGTCTACTCAACTTTTTCCGTCCGCTTAAACTATGAAATGTGGTGATGGGTTATTGCCTTGGGTATAACCAAACTGTAGGCCTTTGCATTGCTACTAAGTGTGCGGTTTAAGAAAAAGATATTATTGTTACTTCCGTTGCTACTTGTGTTGTTGTTGTTGTTGTTGTTGTTGTTGTTGTTGTTGTTAATGATGGATAAACCGAAGCAGGTTGAATGGCCACAAACAAATTTTTACGAAGGAACAGACTAAATTAACGTCTGACACCACGGGTCTCTTCTCGAAAACTTTGCAGAGCTCTGAAAAACAGATTGCACCAGTTTCAACTACAGTGTGCTGGTGATCTTTGACGGACCCCCCCCCCCCCTTTTTTTTTCCAACCCCCGCCCCGCCCTCACAAAAAGTTGTTGCTGTGATTATTTATATTGTTGTCCTTGTTGTTTCGCCCACAGTTAGTACAGGGCGAAAGGTTGAACTTAGAACTTATTTTATCGTGTTATAAATATTATTGAAATACCCAAGTCTGCTCCGTGTTTTCTTTGTTATTATGGTGCTTCCAATGATGATGATGATGATGATGATGATGATGATGCTCTCGTTGGCGACGGTGGGGATGCAGAGAAAGGTGATGTGCTGTCGTTTATGCTATTTGTTGTCGTTGTTGTTTTTGTTGTTAACTTGTGTTTGTGTTGTTGTCACTGCCATGCTTGTTGTTATATTATATTGTAATACTAAAATTATTGGCCTATATATATATTAATTTGCTGTGAAATACATCTAGGCCTACTATTGATAGGCCTACATCTAGGCCTACTTTTGTCATTTTTTTATGTTACTGTATATAGGTACTATACCATGCTGACTGTCGGTTTGGTTGGCTTTTTAGTGGTTTTTGTAGTTGTTGTTTGTTGTTGTTTTTTGTGCTTGTTGTTTTGTTGTTGTTGTTGTTGTTGTTGTTGCTGCTGCTGCTGTTAGCTTTGGTTTTGACATTTTAGAAGGCGGCGGGGGAGGTCCTTCAAGGAGCACAAATATATGCTAGTTGAAACCGCAATTTGTTTTTCAGAGCTCTGCAAATTTTACGAGAAGAGACCCTTTGGCGCTCACACGTTAGGTCTGTTTCTTCGTTAAAAGATTTGTTTGTGCCCATTCATTCAACCATTTCTGTCTATCCAGTCTCGTTCGTTGCGTGCGTGAGTGTGTGTGAAGAATATTATATTCGCCAAAGCATATCGAAAGCCTTCAAAACACGATTGTACCCCTTACTCAAGTCTTAGCTAGGTATCAACGAATAATTATTGTAACTTCTAAAGGAAAAATGATCAGCTATCGAACCGAGCGACTGGCTTTCGCTGATCCTTCTAAGAATGTGCCCAAGTGGGAGCATGCGTCTTTTGTCTGTGGAGACGTGAACAACCAAAAAACCATGCAGCTGTTGCCTTGCTGGAGAAAGCTGCTCTTTGTCCAGCCAGTGGTAGGAACTAAAGATTTAGGATGAGGGCTCGTGTGATGGTAGATTGGATAGCACAGGTAGATGTGGTGGTAGGAAATGAATTCTCTCTCTCTCTCTCTCTCTCTCTCTCTCTCTCTCTCTCTCTCTCTCTCTCTCTATCTATCTATCTATATCTCTCTGTCTCGCTCAGTTCCTCTCTCGACGAACTCAGGCCTATTTACAGGATTAATTTGGTGCTCTGATAATAAACTTTCTGTTGACAGCTATTGCGCGCGACCCTGTGTAGATTCTTGGTTCTCCTGAAAGCAAGAGACCTGACATGACATGACACAAACACCCAGGCACAATCTTACAAAACTGTAAGCCTAAAAGAATTAGCCAAATCATAATTACTAGCGACCTAATATCCACTCAAAACGCCAAAGAATCAATTCAAGAGAAGAAAAATATCCCCCCCCCCCTAAACAAAAAGAAAAT